GGCAGCGTTTTGTGACCCATGAGGCTTTCAGAGAGGAACGTGTTGGCGAGGGCCAAACGGCAATTTAGCTGAGACGTCCCCACCAAAAATCGGTGGCGAACGGGCTCGTGAGATCAGCCAGGGTGGCTCCCCCTTGGGGCTCCCAAATGATGCCCCTGGCAGCGTTTTGTGACCATGAGGCTCCCTCTATCTTATCTTGTCTTGTCTTATCTGGTGATTATCATTGGGAGGAGGGAGGCGCGAACGGGAGGAAGGAGGAAGGAGGAGCAGTGGGAGGCGTCAGAGTAATAACAAGAACCCCAATCCTTAGGATATGGGGAATGAATATGATGATGCTGAGGATGATGCTGATGATGATGATGCTGATGAGGATGAAGATGCGGATGATGATGAGGGTGAGAATGATGATGATGCTGCTGATGATGATGACGACGATGAGGACAATGGCGATGACGATGATGATGCTGCAGATGACCATGATGCTGCTGATGTTGATGCTGATGATGAAGAAGGCTGATTATGACGACGAGGACAATTCTGCTGATGCTGATGATGCTGATGATGATGGTTGTTGTAATTGTGGTAGTGGTGGTTTGTGATGGTAGTGATGATCGTGATGATTATGTTGATGATTTTGATGCTGCTGCTGATATTTATGATGTTGATTATGATGATGATGTTGATTATGATGATGATGCTGCTGATATTGGTGATGGTACTGATGACCATGTTGATGATGGTGTGATGATGAGGAGGATGCTGATGATGCTGCTGCTGATGGTGATGCTGATGACGATGATGACGATGATGCTGATGCTGATGCTGCTGGTGATGCCTATGCTGATGCTGATGCTGATGATGATGATGATGATGATGATGACGATGATGATGCTGATGATGACGCTGCTGATGATGACGATGATGCTGCTGCTGCTGATGATGATGACGATGATGATGATGATGATGATGATGATGCTGATGATGATGATGATGATGATGATGATGCTGATGATGATGATGATGATGCTGATGATGATGATGCTGATGCTGATGATTGATGATGATGATGATGATGATGATGATGATGATGATGATGATGATGATGATGATGATGATGATGATGATGATGATGATGATGATGATGATGATGATGATGATGATGATGATGATGAGGATGATGATGATGATGATGATGATGATGATGATGATGATGATGATGATGACCATGAGGAGGAGGAGGAGGAGGAGGAGGAGGAGGAGGAGGAGGAGGAGGAGGAGGAGGAGGAGGAGGTGGAGGATGATGAGGCGGAGGAGGAGGAGGAGGAGGACTCCCTCTGCTCCTCTAACAGACTTTCGTGCGCGCCCCCAAGCTATCCACGAACGTAAGCCTCTACCCATTCATCAGCCGTACTTCATCGTGCTGCTCTGCTCCCCCTTCGCTCTCGCTCCATCCACCCTCCCCCCCTCCCCATGCGCCGCCCGCTGCTCTGCCTGGCCGCGGGCCTGGGGAGCTCCTCCGCGACGGAGACGTCAAGAATAGGCCGGTGGACCTCCGCGTACATGGCGCACCGCGCCGACTACTACCTGAGGGACGCTGAGCGGATCCTGAACTCGGCCATCGCTGTGGCCTTCCCGGGGCGGTCGGGCAAGCCGGCGGAGGGGGACGTGGACTTCGCCATCTGGGACGTGCAGAACCAGCTGCGGGCCGCCGCCTCCTGGGACGCCCAGAACGCCAGCCTGCTCCTGCAGGCTGGCCGCCTGACGTTCACGCTGGCGGGGCTGGCCATGGCCGTGCACGGGGCCGACGAGTTCACGGAGGACGCGCTCGAGTTCTGGTGGCGCGAGGAAGATCAAGCAGTGGCGAAGCGTCCTGGCGTGCCTATAGGCCTACCAAACAGTGTTCTGAGAGCCTGCTGTGGCTTCCACGAGATGTTCTTGGAACATTTCTGGCCGGGACTGTCTTGTTTCAGCACGTCGGGCTTTTATGTTCTGAGGACACCTTTTCTGTTCTTAGAACATTTTTGGGCTCTAAGGTCATGTCCTGGTAGGCCCATAGAAACGCCGGGACGGTCGGTCCCTGCTCCAAGCAGAAGCACGCGCGCAGACCTTCGGAGCTCCGCACGGATCTCTGGGATCCGGCGCCGGGGGCCCCTCGCCAGCGCCTCCGCTGCCGCCCCTGACGCGCTCCGCGCGCCAGGGAGGAGGTTCATCGGACGGGGCTGGGACGAGGATAAGTGCCTTCGGGGCGGCGCAGGGGCGACGAGAATGTCGGTGTTTGCGTGCCAGGGCATTTTCTTTTGCGGAGTTGGGCGCCCTGGCGCGGACGGCCGAACGACCCCTGCAGCGGGACACCCTGGTAACGCGGTCGCCGCTGCAAAAACTGCCCCTTCAACGCTGGCGCCGCGCAAAGGCGGCGCCGAACAGCGCCGCGCAGAAAGTTCCGGGCGCCCCCCAGACAGTTCCAAGGGCGCCCTCGAGGGCGCGAAGTTATTCGCGCTTC